CATGCATGGACTGACTATCAACATGCATGGACTGACTATCAACATGCATGGACTGACTATCAACATGCATGGACTGACTATCAACATGCATGGACTGACTATCAACAAGCATGGACTGACTATCAACATGCATGGACTGACTATCAACATGCATGGACTGACTATCAACATGCATGGACTGACTATCAACATGCATGGACTGACTATCAACATGCATGGACTGACTATCAACATGCATGGACTGACTATCAACATGCATGGACTGACTATCAACATGCATGGACTGACTATCAACATGCATGGACTGACTATCAACATGCATGGACTGACTATCAACATGCATGGACTGACTATCAACATGCATGGACTGACTATCAACATGCATGGACTGACTATCAACATGCATGGACTGACTATCAACATGCATGGACTGACTATCAACATGCATGGACTGACTATCAACATGCATGGACTGACTATCAACACGCATGGACTGACTATCAACATGCATGGACTGACTATCAACATGCATGGACTGACTATCAACATGCATGGACTGACTATCAACATGCATGGACTGACTATCAACATGCATGGACTGACTATCAACATGCATGGACTGACTATCAACATGCATGGACTGACTATCAACATGCATGGACTGACTATCAACATGCATGGACTGACTATCAACACGCATGGACTGACTATCAACATGCATGGACTGACTATCAACATGCATGGACTGACTATCAACATGCATGGACTGACTATCAACATGCATGGACTGACTATCAACATGCATGGACTGACTATCAACATGTATGGACTGACTATCAACATGCATGGACTGACTATCAACATGCATGGACTGACTATCAACATGCATGGACTGACTATCAACACGCATGGACTGACTATCAACACGCATGGACTGACTATCAACATGCATGGACTGACTATCAACATGCATGGACTGACTATCAACATGCATGGACTGACTATCAACATGCATGGACTGACTATCAACATGCATGGACTGACTATCAACATGCATGGACTGACTATCAACACGCATGGACTGACTATCAACATGCATGGACTGACTATCAACATGCATGGACTGACTATCAACATGCATGGACTGACTATCAACATGCATGGACTGACTATCAACATGTATGGACTGACTATCAACACGCATGGACTGACTATCAACATGCATGGACTGACTATCAACATGCATGGACTGACTATCAACATGCATGGACTGACTATCAACATGCATGGACTGACTATCAACATGCATGGACTGACTATCAACATGCATGGACTGACTATCAACATGCATGGACTGACTATCAACATGCATGGACTGACTATCAACATGCATGGACTGACTATCAACATGCATGGACTGACTATCAACATGCATGGACTGACTATCAACATGCATGGACTGACTATCAACATGCATGGACTGACTATCAACATGCATGGACTGACTATCAACATGCATGGACTGACTATCAACATGCATGGACTGACTATCAACATGCATGGACTGACTATCAACATGCATGGACTGACTATCAACATGCATGGACTGACTATCAACATGCATGGACTGACTATCAACACGCATGGACTGACTATCAACACGCATGGACTGACTATCAACATGCATGGACTGACTATCAACATGCATGGACTGACTATCAACATGCATGGACTGACTATCAACATGCATGGACTGACTATCAACACGCATGGACTGACTATCAACACGCATGGACTGACTATCAACATGCATGGACTGACTATCAACATGCATGGACTGACTATCAACATGCATGGACTGACTATCAACATGCATGGACTGACTATCAACATGCATGGACTGACTATCAACATGCATGGACTGACTATCAACATGCATGGACTGACTATCAACATGCATGGACTGACTATCAACATGCATGGACTGACTATCAACATGCATGGACTGACTATCAACATGTATGGACTGACTATCAACACGCATGGACTGACTATCAACATGCATGGACTGACTATCAACATGCATGGACTGACTATCAACATGCATGGACTGACTATCAACACGCATGGACTGACTATCAACATGCATGGACTGACTATCAACATGCATGGACTGACTATCAACACGCATGGACTGACTATCAACATGCATGGACTGACTATCAACATGTATGGACTGACTATCAACACGCATGGACTGACTATCAACATGCATGGACTGACTATCAACATGCATGGACTGACTATCAACATGCATGGACTGACTATCAGCATGCATGGACTGACTATCAACATGCATGGACTGACTATCAACATGCATGGACTGACTATCAACATGCATGGACTGACTATCAACATGCATGGACTGACTATCAACATGCATGGACTGACTATCAACATGCATGGACTGACTATCAACATGCATGGACTGACTATCAACATGCATGGACTGACTATCAACATGCATGGACTGACTATCAACATGCATGGACTGACTATCAACATGCATGGCTGACTATCAACATGCATGGACTGACTATCAACATGCATGGACTGACTATCAACATGCATGGACTGACTATCAACACGCATGGACTGACTATCAACATGCATGGACTGACTATCAACATGCATGGACTGACTATCAACATGCATGGACTGACTATCAGCATGCATGGGCTGACTATCAACATGCATGGACTGACTATCAACATGCATGGACTGACTATCAACATGCATGGACTGACTATCAACATGCATGGACTGACTATCAACATGCATGGACTGACTATCAACATGCATGGACTGACTATCAACATGCATGGACTGACTATCAACATGCATGGACTGACTATCAACATGCATGGACTGACTATCAACATGCATGGACTGACTATCAACATGCATGGACTGACTATCAACATGCATGGACTGACTATCAACATGCATGGACTGACTATCAACATGCATGGCTTGACTATCAACATGCATGGACTGACTATCAACATGCATGGACTGACTATCAACATGCATGGACTGACTATCAACATGCATGGACTGACTATCAACATGCATGGACTGACTATCAACATGCATGGACTGACTATCAACATGCATGGACTGACTATCAACACGCATGGACTGACTATCAACATGCATGGACTGACTATCAACATGCATGGACTGACTATCAACATGCATGGACTGACTATCAACATGCATGGACTGACTATCAACATGCATGGACTGACTATCAACATGCATGGACTGACTATCAACATGCATGGACTGACTATCAACATGCATGGACTGACTATCAACATGCATGGACTGACTATCAACATGCATGGACTGACTATCAACATGCATGGACTGACTATCAACATGCATGGACTGACTATCAACATGCATGGACTGACTATCAACATGCATGGACTGACTATCAACATGCATGGACTGACTATCAACATGCATGACCTGACTATCAACATGCATGGACTGACTATCAACACGCATGGACTGACTATCAACATGCATGGACTGACTATCAACATGCATGGACTGACTATCAACATGCATGGACTGACTATCAACATGCATGGACTGACTATCAACATGCATGGACTGACTATCAACATGCATGGACTGACTATCAACATGCATGGACTGACTATCAACATGCATGGACTGACTATCAACATGCATGGACTGACTATCAACATGCATGGACTGACTATCAACATGCATGGACTGACTATCAACATGCATGGACTGACTATCAACATGCATGGACTGACTATCAACACGCATGGACTGACTATCAACATGCATGGACTGACTATCAACATGCATGGACTGACTATCAACATGCATGGACTGACTATCAACATGCATGGACTGACTATCAACATGCATGGACTGACTATCAACATGCATGGACTGACTATCAACATGCATGGACTGACTATCAACATGCATGGACTGACTATCAACATGCATGGACTGACTATCAACATGCATGGACTGACTATCAACATGCATGGACTGACTATCAACATGCATGGACTGACTATCAACATGCATGGACTGACTATCAACATGCATGGACTGACTATCAACATGCATGGACTGACTATCAACATGCATGGACTGACTATCAACATGCATGGACTGACTATCAACATGCATGGACTGACTATCAACATGCATGGACTGACTATCAACATGCATGGACTGACTATCAACACGCATGGACTGACTATCAACATGCATGGACTGACTATCAACATGCATGGACTGACTATCAACATGCATGGACTGACTATCAGCATGCATGGACTGACTATCAACATGCATGGACTGACTATCAACATGCATGGACTGACTATCAACATGCATGGACTGACTATCAACATGCATGGACTGACTATCAACATGCATGGACTGACTATCAACATGCATGGACTGACTATCAACATGCATGGACTGACTATCAACATGCATGGACTGACTATCAACATGCATGGACTGACTATCAACATGCATGGACTGACTATCAACATGCATGGACTGACTATCAACATGCATGGACTGACTATCAACATGCATGGACTGACTATCAACATGCATGGACTGACTATCAACATGCATGGACTGACTATCAACATGCATGGACTGACTATCAACATGCATGGACTGACTATCAACATGCATGGACTGACTATCAACATGCATGGACTGACTATCAACATGCATGGACTGACTATCAACATGCATGGACTGACTATCAACACGCATGGACTGACTATCAACATGCATGGACTGACTATCAACATGCATGGACTGACTATCAACATGCATGGACTGACTATCAACATGCATGGACTGACTATCAACATGCATGGACTGACTATCAACATGCATAGACTGACTATCAACATGCATGGACTGACTATCAACATGCATGGACTGACTATCAACATGCTACATTGTATATTCCGCAAGTACCAGTATCATGAATGTACCAGTACTTTCACAGACTGCTCATCAAGTGGGTACCGGGTATAGGCAGAAAAGAAAAGAACAAATTTCTGAAGGGAAACAACAATCTACTCTCTCTAGTATAATAATGCATCAATACATGAAAATGAAGAGTATAGACTCCGGTACTAGTATGGGATAAGATAGGCAATTAGCAAAACACAACTGCTTTTCATAATCTCATCGAGGTCCTTCACTACAAACTAAGCTCAATACTTTAGTCCAAATCAGTCAGTCCTTCTTTTTAATGCTCCCTGGTCTAAAGAGACGGCGCAGAATGGAAAGGGCCCTTTTCTAATTCGAAGTTCATGTATCGGCATCTAAATGCAGTGTGATCGTTTAATTTCTTCTACTTTGTTTCACTGGCAATGGAAGACATCAATGGATCTTTCCTGAGGCTTGTCAATTCCTGCGAATGTCACAGGGTGGTGCGGTGTGGGAGCGTAGGCTGGGGTGCAGGTCTGTTGGAGCAAAAACACCAGCATCAGCAAAAAGAGAAGAAAAAAGCGGGCAGAAGACCATCAGCAGAGCACCTCAGTACAGTAGAGTGGCGCCGCCAAGAACGTTGTTTCCAAGGGGTTGTTCTGGGACGTTCATATTTTTTTCAGCAATCTGGCTGCGTTCTTGTAACACTTTCAGAGATACCTACTGTTACTCTGTAACGAACATTGAAAACCGTTGAGAAGTCAAGAAGTCAAGCGGCCAATGGGCGCTAGCCTTCCAGCCGCACTGCACTGCTGGTCCATCTACACAGTGTGAGCGTCAACTACAGTGCATGTACGTGCGCATGTACGTGCTAAAAGCAGTAAGAGTGCCGGACCCGGTCATCCCATCAGATTTCATTGTCCACGACGGGACTTGTTACATGTACTTGTTTCCGTCAGTAGAAAATTGGTGCACTTTGTCGGTGACCAATCCCGTTCTTGGCTGCAACTGTGGCCAGGATATTATCCTATGGCCAATTCTTGCTAGAGACATGTGGGTGTGTATGGATCTGTTACACTGTAGTGACACTGAAAGATAGGTATTCGCTTGCCCAAGTGTTACAACACAAGTATCTTAAATCACGGAAATGACTACCGAGGATTGGAGAAATAAGTGAGGTCTGTGGACTGCGCCAAGCTAACTGATTACTCACCATCACATTTGTAGTTGATCCGGGAGAACCTTGCATACTGCTGGTCGTAAGCAAACAGCCCCACTCTACCACCGTTCAGACGGAACCGCGGATCACTGTCTAACAACTGCTCGCCAGAGTCGATTATCTTCTGCGCACCCTCGTGGATGATCAGCCTGTAGGCAATGCAAACAGAGGTGTGTAGTGATTGTAGTTCAGTAGTCAAGTTTTGACGCAAGACAAAGATTAGGTTTTTTTTAAAGTGGATACCAAATTGATGTTTAACCCTTTGGTGCCTGACTGAATTTTAGATTTTTCGTAGTTTTGACTCAATTTTTGGGAAAGCCTATATCCCCGCAACCGTTTAGATGATGTAGAGACAAAAGTATGTATTCTGAATGGCCAGACACAGCAAAATCCGATTTTCGAATTTTCAAGTCAGAAAAATCTACAATAGCGCCAGGGTACTGCGCAGGTCCAAGAACATCTTGGTCGCCAACATCACTCAGCACGCCGAATCCACTACCTCGTCCACGGCCTCCGCCACGGCCTCCGCCACACGCGCCACGCACGCCACGATCAGCTGTTCCATGAGCTGGCTGAGTTCGACCAGCGCCGCGAGCAATTCCTCCGCTCAGCGCGAGCGGAGCACGTCCATGAATTGGCTGCGCTCGCCCTTGCCCTACAGCTTCTTGAAGTTCAACGTCGGAAATTTTGTCCTCATCTGAAGAGCTGCCGTTCTCAAGAAATTCACCGAAAACCAAATCATCGCTGAGTCGGTCTTCCTCATCTGATGACGGCAGGTTTCCGTCAGAGAAAAGAGCGTCAGATTATTCACCATCGTCGTCTTCTGATTCTTCTTCTACAGGCATCATCGGCCTCCAGCTCTTCAAACAACTCAAGCGCTCCTGCAGCATCCATGACGGAGGTCAGCTGTAGTAGCCATGAACTGTACTAGTCGAAAACGAAGCGAAACAGCAACATTTTGTTCGTGTTGCGCGACGCGAGCGTAGGCTGCCATGCTCGATTGACTTCCGCTGATCTGCGCCATCACGTTGATCACGACTCGACTTTTTCAAATGCAATCCCCCTACTTTCTCTATCGCTATCTATGGGCCAGCTACTGAAGGGTCTTTGTACAAAAAATCAGGCACCTGCGATGTACGTGACTGGCCCTGTGCTCGATTTAGTATGCACTGTCAGCATAGGTCGAAATCGACCTACCGGCACCTAAGGGTTAAAACAATGCAGTGTCATGTGATGGAGTGAGCTAGTCATGTCCCATCCATGCAATGGTCAGCCATTTAAAAAGGCTCCCCAGTCCGGAGATGGAGCACTCTGCCATTGTATAACCAGTCCAGAAGCCAGCCACTCGCTACAGATCAGGCAGTGATGGTAATCGACTAGAGAGGTTCTGATTCACGTGGAGCAAATCGAAATGCACAGACATAATGCGAACGGTAAAGAACCTACAGCTTCACGTGTTTTCGATATGCGTGATATCTGTACATTGTGGTAGGTGCCAGGAAAAGCTTGCCATTCTGTCGCACATCGCACCCCCTAGAGTAAAGAGGGTCCGAACCTGGGTTTTCCCAATACGGTTCAAATGGTCGCAAGACCGGGACTCTGCCAACCGGGTTATGGTTGTAGTCAGGAGCACTATGCGTCCTCGCCTTGTAACATGCTGTCGAAATCGAAAACATGTTAAACTATCAAACAAGGCTTCCATATACACCATCGCTCCACTTGTAGTTTCAAAGTGATTCGGCAGCAGAGCTTTAGAGAACTGCCGCACTAGGAACAGACAATGCCTACAGTCCATTTTAAAACTATAGACTCGTAGGGTTTTTGAAATATTTCAAATTTGGCAGGAACTTTTTGAGAATAGTTTTCGGAATATTGCTCAGGATCGCTCCACAATTACTCTCCTATAGTTGCTAAACGATTGGATAACAGACGCCCAATTTGGAAAAATTTATGCACAAAGTGATCACAGATTTTATGTGGTATAGATGCTGGCATAACGGTTTTTGCCTAGGTACGCGTCTATAGTTTTGAAATGGACTGTAGCACAATTTCTGTGCATGAATATACAGTTGCGCTCGCTGAAATCCGACCCGAGGTGCAAAGCTGGCGCCCTGGACCAGTTCCGATTACATTATTGTATTTGTTACATGTGTACGTGCAGCCGCATTCGTGCCACTTCCAGGGCGTCAAGGGCGTGCTAGTTGAGGGCGCCAGCTTTGCACTTTGGGTCGGATTTCAGTGAGCGAAACTGTACTTTGAACTACATGTAGAGCAGAACTCTGTTTGTGGTGCATACACTGAGTGCAATAGTGTGAGCACTGAGTACCGAGTGTGGATACCCAAGTTGATGAGATGCATTGCATTCCCATTACGTCATGCAGCACTTCCCTAATTGCTCCAAACCTGTATTGTAATGTTCAGCAGCGCACAGCAGTAAACACCTTGGGCACATTGCCCCTGTGGCCTGTTCAATCACTCACTCTGATTCACTCACCTCATCACACCCTGCACTGGCTGGTGCTGAATCTCCCAGCGATACGTCTGCTTATGGAGCCAGCCCCTCTGCAGTTTGATGTCGCTCCAAAGAACTTTGGACACCAACTCACCATCCTGATCGGTGAGGTCATTTTCAGACCAGAGAGCCTCCCGCAAGTTACCGAAGCTGGTGGCTGATATGCGCTGCATGAAAATGGCAAAACATGGTGAGCGTACACATTCTACACCAGGAATCATATTGGCCTCAGGCCTCAATGCTCATTTTTATCATCCTGCACCATGTGATCACTGATCATGCTCAGCAACATGATGACATCATGCCAGGCACAGATACATCATACCCAACAAAAGGCAATAACATCACACCCTGTATAGTTACATCATACCCAACAAGGCAATGACATCACAGCAAGTACGGCTACATCATACCCAACAAGGCGATAGCATCATTCCAGGTACAGCTACATCATACCCAACCATGCAATGACATCATGCATGTGCTAACTGCTAACCTTTATCATCACACTGGTACTGGATAGGACACTTCTCCCGCGAAATTCCCGACGCTCGGCCGTCCTTTTCCAGAGGGCCACATAAAAGTTCTGAACGCTCTGATAGCTGAACACAATGCCGATGAAGCCGTCGCCATCGTTGGAATTGACAAATACATCGGACGAGAACGTTACGTTGTTAAAGGCAAATCGACCTGCATGAACATACGCCCAGGTGCATTTAAATAGTTGTCAGCTGATATTGCCACAGTCACACTGAAGTGCACAGTAGCTCAAACGGATGTCTTTGCATTCGTATCATTGAACAGGCAATGCATTGGCTTGGGTTAGAGGGGGCCCTTCGAAATCGGAGTGGTTTGACAGCAAAATCGTTTACACCCAAACCGATTGTCAGTGTGGATTGTTCACCTCTTTTTTAAATATGGCTGTGGAGGGAAGCTGGTATGTTGATGTTTGTCCTGAGGCCAGCGTCGATTGAACTGAGACACTCCTCTGTGTTGACCCGTTGCCTCCAAGTTGCCGGATTTTACGTTTCCAATTTTGGTGTCACAGAGGTCGCTCCAAACAGGAGCAGTTTTGGAGCCCACTTCAAGTTCACCTGGAGTTCTCGAGTGAAATTCTGTAACTGCTTTTGCTCCACGACGGCCAGTAAAGGGAAATGGTAAGCCTTGTGTGTGCTTCCATCAGGTTTCATTGGTGTATGGTGCTTTATTGGTGAGAGGCGAGCCGCTGCTTACCTGCTACAAGAAGAAGCAGCTACATGGCAAAAACCATGAGGAATTAGTGATGGACATACCAGCGACCTCCACCTTCGTGGAAAGATTGGTGTTTCTTTGCGTCTTCTGTTCATCCGGGTATTTCCAGCCGTTGGCTAGTTGTTGAGGAGTAGATAAAGGTGTGTTTGACGCTGTGTCGGCTCGAAATCGGTTCAGCCAAAGATGACCGCGTCAAAAATTCCGAGTCACCTGCCTGGAATGGTGCTTCTGGTTAGCAAAGCGCCAGGAGCATTTGGCTCGGATTAAACACACATCGTGGTCTCACTTGGACGATGCTGTTGAATCAAAATGCCAAGAGAGAAAGTGAATTCGAGCCTGCTCCTGTTTTCATGCGCGCTGTGATAAGGGCCGCCGTCGCCGTTGTCTCTAAAGCAAGCACAATTGCCTAGTAAGCCCAGTGAGCTGAGCCACACCAGTGAGCTGAGCCACACCAGTGAGCTGAGCCGCACCAGTGAGTGAGCAGGAGAAAAACATGCCATGCTGGGTTCATCCATACAGAACTCACTGATAGTGGCCGACGGGTCGCCTGGCTGTGATGTCTCCCACTCCCTATCACCGATCAGCTCCCAGTTGGCGAGGCCGTGTGCCGCAGTGGCCGATTCTTCCAGTGTAATGCTGCGGTAGAGCTTGAAGTGAGTGGTCCAAATGACCGCGTTGTATGGACAAACGTCGTCATCATCGTCTCTCCGATCACCATCGTAGTCATTGTAACATGCCTCGCCGATGCTCCTATCTAGACAAGGAAGGGGCAGAAATGAGTACGCAAGACCTCGTATTCACAATATTGACTGATGCGTAGTGGTTAGTGCAAGCTCTTGTGGCCTTTCATAGCCATTCAAACAAGCAGCTCAACACAACTAGGTGCTGATTCTACCTGCACATAAGACAAAGAACCAAACATCACTGGCAAGAATGCACCTCAGGGTGCATCTTGAGCGTGGGTTCAGCCTGCGAAAAGCGCGACTACAATTAAAAGGTGCAATGATAAAATACGAAATGTAAGAAATAATAAGTAACCATTGGCCTATACTACAATACTTCTGGAGTATATTGTTCAGTGCATACATGTCAGTGCACACTCAGTGTACAAACACAGCATGCAAAAGGGAAAGGGATAACCTACTTGTATGCTGTATTACCTACTTGTAGGCTGTATTACCAGATACTAAAATACCAGAAGGCAAGAAATTGCCCGATAGCATCAAAAAAAACTTGTCCAAGACCAGAAGACCAAAAACGGTGTTGCTTCAGCAAGCAGAGATCAAATGTGAATCTACTACACTCCCGGAAAAATGACTTACTGTATCGCGATGTGGTTTGAAGCGGATTAGGGACCAATATACAGTTATCCTCGCTGTCTGGTATCAAATCGTTGTCATCATCCTCGTCACATGCGTCGTTCACTCGATCCCGCACCCCATACCCACGGTCGTGGTCGGCCTGAGCAGTATTGGGTGTGCATGGACACACATCCTGGTCATCCTGGATACCATCTCGGTCTCTGCAGCAGGTGAGTGGAAAAAACGTATGCAGTATCCGAGATACAGTGCTGGCCAAAGAAATCCAACCTCATGAGTAATATAGCACTGGGCGATACGCAGCCCTAGCACTACACACACTGGTCTGTGCACTACGCAGCCCTAGCACTGCGCACACTGGTCTGTGCACTAGGCAGCCCTAGCACTGCGCACACTGGTCTGTGCACTAGGCAGCCCTAGCACTGCACACACTGGTCTGTGCACTACGCAGCCCTAGCACTGCACACACTGGTCTGTGCACTAGGCAGCCCTAGCACTGCACACACTGGTCTGTGCACTACCCAGCCCTAGCACTACACACACTGGTCTGTGCACTACGCAGCCCTAGCACTGCACACACTGGTCTGTGCACTAGGCAGCCCTAGCACTGCACACACTGGTCTGTGCACTACCCAGCCCTAGCACTACACACACTGGTCTGTGCACTCGAACGCGGCGCTACTTTATTCATGAGGTTGGATTTCTCTGCCCAGCATTTTACTTCTTTATCCAAAGACGAGTCCTACTACCATGACTACGGGCCCCACCAGTGCCATACATTTGTGCAGTATTTCAATTCAGCACACAATTATCAGAGTGTCTCACCTGTCTTCTCCCGTATCGCATGCATCTCCTGTAACATCCTGATCCTGGTCTGCCTAAGCAGTGACCACATACGGCAAAATTATGACAGTGGTAGTGAAGTAAGCGTGATGCACCCAGGCAGACACTCTCATCGGTAAGCCGAGGGTCTTGTACATGTCATTCAATGTACACACGCACGCACGCACACGCACACACACACACACACACACACACACACACACACACCGCACACACACGCGTACACACATACATACACACACACACACACACACACACACACACACACACACACACACACACACACTCACTCATACTCACTCATACTGTCAGTCTGCAAGGTACATGAACCAGTAGTGTATTACACACTAGAGGTGAAACGATTACTCATCTTTCAACAAGCGCAGTGACACAGCATACTTTGTGGTATGTCAGTTCAGCTGGTTCTGTTCGTTGTGATTCTCAGAAACTGTGCTCTTCTTTCAAAATACCTTAGCTATGTACCCCTGCAGGACCACCGGAAGCACCATTCGTTCTATCGCGGACATGATCACCTATCCAATAGTCTATTATATTTAAAATTATTCTTATCTTTTTACATCTTTCCCTCAAGTGAGTCTATTGTTATTAGGCAATTGTCTGTTATAGTCACCACTATAAATAGAATCCAATCCAATCCAGTTTTTGGTTGGTCCAGTGGTATCATGGCCTTTCATACAGTTTGCGTGTGATATGGCGGGTACAACCTCCGCAGTAGTAAACGCATGTCGGTGGCCAAAACGTTAGTACGACAATAACCTGACCAACTGGACCGGTTCCGGCGGGCCTGTCCTGTGTTGGACAGGGCGTTGTTACAGGAAACCTGGGATTTTATTAGAGAAACTACAGAAATTTACCTGGTCTGGATTTATCTCACGAACACAGTTATCACAGTGGTCACCGACTCCGTCACCATCTAGATCCTGCTGGTACCTGTTCACTACAAGCCAGCAGTTGTCTTGGCTATTTGGCACACCATCGCGATCAGCATCATATTCACATGCGTTCCCATCACCGCCTGGAAAGAGGTCACCCTGGTCCGGGTTGTACGTAGACACACAGTTGTCGCAATGATTGCCAACGCCATCATTGTCACTATCCCTCTGAGATGGATTCACCGTAAGTCTGCAGTTATCCTGTGACCAGTTTCACACACGGCATGCACGCGCACACACACACACACACACACACACACACACACACACACACACACACACACACACACACACACACACACACACACACACACATGGACACACACACGCACGCACGCACGCACGCACACACACACACACACACTGTGTCATAATAATTATTTTATACTGGGGAGGGGAGAGCAACTTGTCCCATATTTGACAGGTACGACCAGCTGTAGTACAGTTGTGAGTATGGTTGTGTTGTATACAATTCATTATGTTTACTGCAGGAATGCTACCGCAGTGCAAACAGCATCGTAGAAATATATTTGAAGTAGTGGACTTGCTCTGAAAACCCTTTTTGACGGGAAACAATGCATACATGTACTAGTACATCTACGTCCGATCGGACGCAAAGAAAATACAAACGGCGGCGACATTGCCCGGCATACCAAAATATCGTCAGTTCCGTCGTTGTCAGAATCTTCATCACACGCATCACCTTCCCCATCCCCGTCGGTATCCTCTTGTTGTGGGTTTGGTACTTGCGGGCAGTTGTCCTGAATCCAATCAGAAGATGTATAGAACCAGTGCAGGGCTTTTCATGGAGCAATAGATGTGTGCCTACAGCAAGAATTTGTCTTGCATTGCACACACCCCGCAGAACAGGGCTTCAAGCTAGCATGCTTGTACGGGATGAGCACCCTCAACATATTTCGGGTTTATGTCAAAGTTATCTGCCTTCATGGAAGCTTGAATCGCTGCGTTTCTTGTATTCAGACGGCACTCTGAGCTGATTTTACAGTGTTTTGTTCACTATTTCTTCCTTGTGATCGGTTTGGCCAGTCACTCTGATCTCCGCTGATTAGACCTAAGAAGGTTAAAAACAGCGAGCTGCGTGCTCGTGGTAATGTCTGCCCGGAATATGTCAGGTACATGTTGGAGTTCACTCGTTGCCCGTGTCCGTTAGCTACAACTGCAGGCGAAGAGTTTTTGAAATACTAAGCATCATACGGCAAACTGTAGCTCTATTGAAATGAGAAAACATTGGAGCACATGGAGATTCGTCCAGCCAAGCCAATACCAAGCAACCTTATACTTGTAGTGATACAGTGCTCTTCCTGAATGGCACACGAAAAGTGAAATCATGCTGTGATCCAAGTTTCCCAAACTTCTTTTTTAATTGAATCTTGAAAATAACCTAGCCATGTTTATATCGCAAATGCAGTGAAAGAAAATAAAATCGCTTCCAGTTCCGTTCACAGGCTCGATAATGGGGAGCACTTTCCGAAGAAAATCTCTTAGGATCAGTATCTGTAGGATGTTGGCAGGGCCTGGTCAGACTGCGGAAAGTTGTGATCATACTACAAGTGGGGAAATGAAAATGAAATTTTCAAATTGAGCTTCAGTCGATCAAATGGTATTCCAGCAATGAATTCCTCCTGAGTCCTTGATCCCGGCACGAATTCATACAGTGCACTTCTTGCTACCACTCTTTTGAGATTCGTTTTCATCCGTGGCCACTCAGCCCTTCCCGGCATAGTTATCGAGATGAAAAAATCAGTGAGTGTCAGCATCCATGCCGTGCCAGCCTTTTTTTAAACTCTGATACGCCATGGACTCTTGCTTGGAGCAGAAACACGAAGTCGAATCTTGCTTTTGTGTGGCAAGAGTCAACCCTGAATTTTGCCATTGTGGCATCAAGTTGCCATGGAGATTGAGATTATAAACCGGGATTATTTTATTTTTGCTGTAGTCTGACCCTTATCCGACATGTACCATATACAGTGTTATGAACCCTCTGGTTCTCTAAAGTATCAGGAACGAACGACCCCACACGGCACGAGGACAACTATTTATTCTCAACAATATCTTTCACTTCCATCGACTAATAACAATGAACAATGAATGGAACAACTGAAACTAACTGAACTAACTGAATAACTAACACTAAAACCACCAGGTAGTTATAGCGTGAAAATGACAGCGTATATGAGAAAAGCATACACATACAACATACAACTACAGCGCACACAGCAAACCGCACATAGCGCATGTAGCGTATACTACGTCGTAAACATCAGCGGTACGGCGGAGTCGGGATACAGCTGCATTGGAACGAACACAATGTCACAAGCGAGAAGGCCTTTCACTCTCGAGAACTTGTGGTTTCACAACATTCTCCCCACCAAAGGGCTTCTCACCGCCGTACAACAACCCGCAAGTCAAACGATTTGGGGCTTACTACGCGTCATCTGCTGCTGCGGTGGTGGCCATGGTAGAATATCACTAATGCCCACCACTTCAGACAACTCGACATCGCGAAGCTCGCCGCTGTGGGCTGTCCCACACGACACTGTCACCGATCCACTTCGACATGGGGCAGACGCTGGACCAGACAACACACAACCGATAATGTCATAAAGCTCGACGATGTGGGCTGTCACACACGACATGGTCACCGGTACACTGCTTCGACCCGGGGCGGGCGCGGAATCCGAGGACACACATCGGATCTCTGTGTTCCACACAGTCTCGCCGCTTACTTCTTCCGTGCTAACCAGTAGTATCGCCCTTCTCATTTTCTCGGCTACTACGCCTTGCGCCTCCAACTCTTTCGCCTCCAACTCTTTCGCCTCCAACTCTTTCGCCTCCAACTCTTGCGCCTCCAACTCTTGCGCCTCCAACTCTTGCGCCTCCAACTCTTGCGCCTCCAACTCTTGCGCCTCCAACTCTTGCGCCTCCAACTCTTGCGCCTCCAACTCTTGCGCCTCCAACTCGTTCGGCCGAGACTCCAGCTGCTTCTGAGCGTCTCCGACCGATGTCGCCATGCACTGTACCGACCCAGTGGGCCTTGGATCTGATCCTCCCACTGGCTTCGAATACTCTTCTGACCGCTGCTTGTCTGTAAGCAAAGTCTTACACGCCTTGTCCGGCGTCCTTCTGGGCGAGGCAAGCAAATCTCGCTTTGCTTCCTCATAATATGTACTGACGGCGATGCGCTCGTCCATCTTCTTGAGCTTTTCGTTAAACTCTGTGCGGAGCGCACCCTCTTGCCGTCTAGCACTGTGCTCTTCAAACTCCTCGCTCTGTCGGAGCCTCTTCTCCACGTATTCTCTCAACCTATCGCCTTCAAATCCATACCGAATTCCGTTGGCGATAAAGCTGGCTTCAATGGTCCATAGTTCCTGTGCCATGCTCGCTTCGTATCCTGGCGTGGTCGCCAAATGTTGCGAACCCTCTGGTTCTCTAAGGTATCAGGAACGAACGACCCCACACGGCACGAGGACAGCTATTTATTCTCAACAATATCTTTCACTTCCATCGACTAATAACAATGAACAATGAATGGAACAACTGAAACTAACTGAACTAACTGAATAACTAACACTAAAACCACCAGGTAGTTATAGCGTGAAAATGACAGCGTATATGAGAAAAGCATACACATACAACATACAACTACAGCGCACACAGCAAACCGCACATAGCGCATGTAGCGTATACTACGTCGTAAACATCAGCGGTACGGCGGAGTCGGGATACAGCTGCATTGGAACGAACACAATGTCACAAGCGAGAAGGCCTTTCACTCTCGAGAACTTGTGGTTTCACAACATACAGTGCGTATCGGTTATAGTGTGGTCGTATACAAGAATATACTGCCTACAAGAATAAACACTCATTTTTTCATAATCAGAACACATGTTTTATGTGTATATTTATTCTTACAAGCAGTATTTATCGCATAGTAGAATATATCGGCCCTAAGAATGGATTTTATGCAGCAAAATATGCCAGATTAGTGCAAAGTGTATCGCCTGTAGTAATAACATCTGTGCTCTGTGCATACTCACTACAATGATATTCAACACAAAAAGAGAGTTATGTCCAAGGGAGCATTGGAGAATCACTTTTTCTGTCCAGTCGGACTCTTTCTTCCGACTTCTCTCGTACGATCGTATCTGCTGCTCCGCAGTCTAGTCGCCTAGCACGACCGGTCGACCGCGAGTCTGATCCGTGTGTACGTATCCATATGCCAAACGTGCACGCAATGCGCGCATGCGCATATGATTATGTCACACGTGCATATGATATGTCACACGTACACGTGCATTATGATATGTCACACTTGATTTATCGTGTGTAAGAAATATCGGCAATAAGAATCAAATGTCGTTTTTCAAACACCCACGCTATAACCGATACCTACTGTACATTAACATACCTTCCTGCATAACCACTCCTGGACTCCGATACAGGAGCTGTTGGCAATGTTGGGAACTCCGTCCAAGTCCTCATCACGGAAACAGAACCCGTTGTACTTGAGGTAACCTATTTCAACGCACTGCCAATTGTGAGGGAGTGTGTGAGAAGGAGAGTGTATGTTGTATATAGTGTGTGTGTGTGTGTGTTTGTGTGTGTGCATATGTGTGCATGTGTGTATGTGTGTATGTGTGTATGTGTGTGTGCATGTGTGTATGTGTGTATGTGTGTGTGCATGTGTGTGCATGTGTGTGTTTGTGTGTGTGCATATGTGTATGTGTGTGTGCATGTGTGTATGTGTGTGTGTGTGCATGTGTGTGCATGTGTGTATGTGTGTGTGCATGCGTGTGCATGCGTGTATGTGTGTGTGCATGTGTGTATGTGTGCATGTGTGTATGTGTGTGTATGTGTGTGTATGTGTGTGTGTGTGTGTATGCATATGTGTACAAGTGTTAGTGACAATCATGTACATTGAATATACGTTACACTGACTATAATGGTCACGGCTCTATGTATGAGTACCACCTTTATTCAGGGGTTCATGGTCAATGCTCTCTATCTATAGTCCATTTCAAAAAGATTAGCAAACAGGTTTTGGTCTTAAAAAGTATGAAGATAAGGGAAATTTGGACAACAAAGTGCATAAAATGGCTTGTTAGAACACGGCAAATTGTTCTTTGAAGGTTTGGGAATAATTGGACCAGCCGTTAAGGAGTTAGAATTTCGGCCAGGTTTCCAGCCTTTTCCCATGGTTTGCAATTTGCCCTGGATGTCAGTATCGATTTTTTATCAAAACCCACGATTTATCCCTTCCTTTTTTGGCCTTATGGTTATGAATGCTGTCTGCTGACCATGAAGTAATAGTTGTGAGTTCAAATCCCAAACTATCTTCAAGTCAAACTTTTTTTTCATTGTTTTGGTGATTACGTTGGTACAAAAAGTACAAGCCAAAGAAGGTGGCTGCGCCAAACGACTTGATGTTGGAGCTCGCGTTTCCTGCCGAACTTACTGACACTTGACTGGTTCACGCCATGTGAACACACCCACAACACTGAAACGATGTGAGTGAACACGGAAGTCATTGCGCTGTAGCTATGTGTTGTTGAATACAACGGCACATCGATCGATCGATTTCTCTTTGAGAATTATTTTAGTATTTCAAGATCGCCAATTTATTTGAATTTAGGAGTCAACGCCGTCTTCTACCAGTTTTCACAGGCGTCTGCTTTTCTCAAATATCGTCGAGGTCACACGGATAGCTTTGCCAAGTCATGGCCTTGGGAATGAGTCTGTGTCGATGTCGTATTCGTCACATCGTGAGAGTAAATTGCATCGCAGCTCAAAGAAATTGGCCACAAAACGAATTGGGACCCATCCCGCTCGTCAGCATTTACCACACTTTCGACATGTCCGGGCCTCTCTGACTCCATATCGATACAAGGAAGAACTCGTTTGTTGCAAACCAGACGTACATGTACCGACGTGAGTGAGTTGTCATTTTTCATGCTTTTGCGCGGATTATTTCTTCTTGTTCACAGTGAGTTTTTCCAGCCAGCTCTCGAGCGCGCATACGGTAAGACGGCAAACTCCCCGGGCGATCGCCAGGATTGCTAATCTTTTTGAAACTGACTGTAGGGTCACCGAGGAGACGCATTTATGGACTCGTTGAGTTTGTGAGGTTCTTGGCTTCGTTTGGCTCATTATTTTGTCATGTCCTTATGCGTCATGGACCAGCAGGCAGGCACAGTGGGTTGGTCAAAGACCATGATTGAGATACGAGAGTTACCTGGGTCAAGTCCTGCCTGGGAGCGGTTTTTCCAGCCGTGCTGCTACCCACAATCAACTGGGAACTTGTGGCCAGGCACAAGGGGTACATGGATGCAGCTATTGGGGTCGTTCTCGGCACTTGTGCCAGTGGTTGTGAGACTTATCCACTCACCCCCACCATTAGGCGCTGCATCTGCCGCTAGGGTTTACCGGGTGTTAGCGGCCGTCGTGAGTTCCCTTCGGGAGCGGACACGATAATTTACTTTTTTTTAAGCGTCATGCCCTGTCCATACACACTTTCTTATCGTTTTCCCTCTAAGGTTTAATGAATATAGAGCCGTGGAAACATATAGAGCCGTGACCACATATGGAACCGTGACCACATATGGAGCCGTGACCACATATGGAGTCGTGACCACATATGGAGTCGTGACCACATATGGAGCCGTGACCACATATGGAGCCGTGACCACATATGGAGCCATGACCACATATGGAGCCGTGACCACATATAGAGCCGTGACCACATATAGAGCCGTGACCACATGTAGAGCTGTGACCACATGTAGAGCCGTGACCACATGTAGAGCCGTGACCACATGTAGAGCCGTGACCACATGTAGAGCCGTGACCACATGTAGAGCCGTGACCACATGTAGAGCCGTGACCACATGTAGAGCCGTGACCACATGTAGAGCCGTGACCACATGTAGAGCCGTGACCACATGTAGAGCCGTGACCACATATAGAGCCGTGACCACATATAGAGCCGTGACCACATATAGAGCCGTGACCACATATAGAGCCGTGACCACATATAGAGCCGTGACCACATATAGAGCCGTGACCACATATAGAGCCGTGACCACATATAGAGCCGTGACCACATATAGAGCCGTGACCACATATAGAGCCGTGACTACATAATAGAGCTGTAACAACATATAGAGCCGTGACCACATATAGAACTGTGACCACATTATAGAGCTGTGACCACATTATAGAGCTGTGACTATGGAAAGAGGGTTGCTGAACTACTGGATTGTACATGTGAACAGATAAACAGCGAGACTGACCAAAATAAATACAGACATAAGCATCATAGCATAGGGTTGTACTACAACATACTACTGTACGCAGTAAGTTACCGCACGGATGACATTACTGTCCACAAGAGTATAATCGTGTTTCCCCTCTCATAGCGATCAGCACTCCGGTGCGAGTTAACGTCTTTGACGTTTACACTAACTGTTGTCCATAGCTTACGGACTGATCAGTTTGAGAATCATGGCAAGGTATACTCGATCTGTTCCGAAATGTGGCGCTGAATGGGAAGTTCTATGATCACTGCTGCTAGGTTCAGCTTTACAGTTCTGGCTTGGTGAATCCCCAAACTGGGACGAAGCAACTGTGCTAGTAATTTAAAATAATTATCACCCGTCCTCGGACGTTGATGACTACTTATGAGCACATTGAGAGACAATCCCAACTTTCTCACCTCACATGTGAAAGCATATCCTCCTTTCGGCACACAATAGCTGGATTCAATATCGCAGTTATGTAGGTTGGCTTCGCAAGCGTCCACCAGACGACAACCACGTCCACTACGTCCCACATAGCCTGCTGGGCACGGTGAACAGATAAAGGAACCCTGCAGCCGATCACCACAACACACATGCACACACACACACACACACACACACACACACACACACACACCATGTATGTACCATGTACACACCCGTCGCAAGAGGAGCACGCAAATCTGCAAATGCACTGGATGTGCACCCACAGGCTTTCTCTTGTAGCAACGATAGCCTGCGGCGAACAAGATCTGAATGAGACAGATCAAGACTTGCGCCAGATAACTGTCTAATCCACACCACTGGCGAAGCCATGTGAATCGACCACCAATGCACACCTGGTCTACACCACACGGAGTACATCGGCATAAACCGGCCAAGACAGTTACCTATGCACACCGTACACTTGCTGGGGTAACCAGTATAGACAGCACACATACACACACACACACACACACACGTACACGCACACGCACGTACACACACGTACACACACACACACCACACACATGTACACACACCACACACTATCTCTCTCTCTCTTACACACATACACACACGCATACACACACGTCCACACACACACACACGCATACACACACGTCCACACACGTCCACACACACACACACACACACACACACACACACGCGCGCGCGCGCGCATGCACACACACACACACACACACAGTGGTCTACTCATTGAGCCTTCTGCCAGTCACAAGGAATAGGGGTTATGCGATCAAATCACCAATTGAGATGCTCTGGCAATGTGGGGGCACAGCCACTCACCAGCTCAAACAAAACCATGGGAACCGCTTACTCACGCTGCATTCATAGTGCCAAGAGTATACTATGATATAAAACTCACTGCGGGTATGAAAATCCCCAGCATGATCATGGCAGATATTCGGATTGCGCGCATGCTATCCTTCGCTTGTCCGTACTTCCTCCGCGTCATCGAAATTGTCGCAGTTTGACTTTTGATATAAAACGGGGTATTTACTCACCAGCACACGTACCAGAGGCAAGGGATTGGACAAAGGCGATAGTCATCAGTATAGGGTGACGGTAAAGTTCTGTTTTCTGTTATTGGAAGCTGGAATTTTTGAACTAGACGCAATTTCTTCGCTGATGTCGCTGCGATGATAATTTCGACTCGCTGAGATCAGTCAGGCGTTCCAGCCTGCACATTTCTCATGCTTATGCTTCACTCAAGCCTCATCACTGTTTTACCTTAGCTGGGGTGAGAATGACTTCGTGGAACAAGTGGCAGCGCTTGGAGAAACATCGAGGGGTCAGCAAGCTAAATGCCTGCAACAGCGATAAAAATTGTTGCTCTGGCTGAGACACTCAGTACATGATTGTATCTGCAAGAGCCGTGTAGACTCTAAACGTAGTGCTAGTGATGCACGCTCAGGTGCCGTACCATGGTATACCAGTGATGCTGAAAAAGAGGGCGCGCTAGACGTGATAGTACACTTACCTGCACGAGCTGTGACCACACAGCTAAAATAAATGGGCATGCCACGGCTAAAAAAAGTTCATTTCAAGATCGAGGTGATTCCGCCGACGGTAATCAACCGACCTCGCAACGATCGTGTATTCTTACTAGGCTTCGTTGGTGGTGAAGTAGAAATCATCCAGAGCTAGCAGACGACAAGCATAGCAGCTCTTGTCCTGTGGAGAAAGTCAAAGCGTTTGAGATGAGGCGCGACCAACTTTCAACCTTCCTTGAAATATTTCGGAACGATATTTTTGCGTCCATTGACATCAGGGACGACGAGGACTTCATCTCTGCATGAAAACTCTCAGTCCAACTGTTGCGGTGCGACTTGGTCCCGCAACTAACCATCGTCAGGCAGACCACAAAAACCCAGAAACTCCTTTAATCGACATTACCACTCGTTTCCAACAAGAACACCAAAGAACACACCGAACAACGATCGCCAAATCGCTGTCCTGGGCAAAACGTGCAGCGTGCGTGCATTTGGCTTGCGCTGCATGCATATGCACACAACGACGTGGCATAGAGAGAAAAATGCAGCGTACAGAAAATGCATGATCATCGTAGCCATAGAGATACTAAATATGGCGACTACCAAACTCCAAAGTCCGCGTGCAGCGTGGATCGCGGAGCGCAGGTGCATGCAACGAAAAGAAAAGCAATAATTTGAAATGCAGAACAAGCAGAAACTAATAATTACTTGCAATGTGCTGGAGTGAAAGAATAAAGAATTGTTGATTACGGAGGTGAAAACAGTGTCTGTCAAGGGGTGCTTGCACCCAGCGACAGGGTGACAGCACACCCTGTCAGCGAGATCGAGAGTAAGTTTCGCCAAGTAGATCGTAGCGGAGTTGCCGCGGATGGCGATAATGCAACGGATCAAGTACTAGTAAGTACATGTACATTGCAACCAATTAGTGTGTCAACAATTCTACTTATAATTATAACACATTAGAACAATTCACAAGATATTCCGCTCGTGAACATGTCGTGGTACGAACACGCATAGCAATTACTGTATAATAAAATGTGTCTCGACGTAGACGTAACAGATATGCACTCGTGATGTAATTCTAACAGACTAACAAATAAATATTACACTCGCGAAATACATAGCAGTAATACGCAACGCACCAGTATTGCAAGCGACCTAGCATGTCTTGACAATACTGCCCTTGCAGCATGTGACAGTTCTGTACACAATTCGTAACTACAATACACTAATAGTATCAACGTGCAACATATGACAACATGAAAGGATAATGTTCAAGAGCGCAGTCTCCTGTCCACCAACTGTCCTGGAACGTTACTCTAGTCTTCAGACTATCATACTGTGTAATAAGTTTTGAATGGCTTAGCTTATAGAGTTGTCAGTAACAAGTGACAAGTCACTAGTCAAACTGCGACAATTTCGATGACGCGGAGGAAGTACTTGGTCCGCCAAGTTAAAATCGGCGCTTATCTTCTCACTTGGTTTTTCGGTGTTCTGCCTGTGTCACACGGCATGGAACCACCGATTCACCATCCGAACATGACCATTGCATCCGACGACTTGGCAGCACAAACCAGCACTGAAGTTGCAATCGGTTCGTTTGAGTCCTTTTGACGGAGCTGCCGCCGACGAACACTTCCGTCAGTGCAAGAAAACACTGCAACCTCCGCTCGATTCCGTAAAGTAGGTCAGGATGTTCGCATTTCAGAGCGATGGAGAATACAGTTTCTATCTACTTTCAGATGTCTGATGGCAAGGTTTGTTTACCCCGGAGAGGTATAGAAAAGCTGAAAAAGCGCTTCGCGAGCTTGAATTTCAGTGCTTGCACAGTACAGCGCCTAGTGAAGGGTTATCACCAGCAAATCGCTGACGAAGAAACTGCAGCTCATGTCGACATCTCCAGAAAGTGAGACCAATCCGGCGGACACACTTTGAAGCCCGCAGAGGACAGGGCAAAGGAGCTAATCAAAATATACACCAAGTCCTGAGGGAAACACTCGCGCAAAGGACTCTCAGGAAACTAGCCGAAAAGCCTGGTGCACGGCGTTAGGACTTGGGTGCAGTACGCACAGGTGCTACATCAAGCGGAAGCTAGCACTGCGCTGCATGTAATGATGTAGATCTACAAGCACCAGCGGCTCCCGTGGGTGCTGATCAGCAAGTACGACAAGCGCAAGAGGCGATTTGAAAAAAGACACTGATATGGCGTTGCCTTTTTGTCTCAAACAAAGTCGCATTGTCGTGACGAACGGGATAACACTTACAGCCAACATGCGGGCAGTCTCACTCAGCTTCTGATCGGCAAGGTGACAGGCACGCACTGCCTTTGAGCGTGATCCGAGACGAGGAGAAGTGGAACAAGCTATGAAACGTGCAGCAGCCGTCCGGATCGAACGTTTTGAGCTCTTCCTCCAGCGACGATAGTGGCGAGGAGGATGTGTAACTTGCTTGAATTTTCGACTCATTTGCTTACTGACATGTAAATAATCATGTACATGGTGTTTTGTGATCGTGGCATGCTTCAAATATTCGTATTTCCTTCCCGAGACAAGTGTGAAGATAAGCGCCAATTGTAACTGTGCCTACCAAGTAGTACGAACGTATCTGAGACACGTGATGTGAGTTTTCGCCATCGGAGAGCCCTTATGCAGAGTTGCACACTCTTGGGGGGTTATATACGGATAGTGCACATGAGCGGTTTCTGCTGCTACCACTTTTATTCTATGATCACTAGGTTATCACTAGGTTACCACTGGGTTACCACTAGGTTACCACTAGGTTACCACTAGGTTACCACTGGGTTACCACTGGGTCACCACTGGGTCACCACTAGGTTACCACTAGGTTACCACTGGGTTACCACTGGGTTACCACTGGGTTACCACTGGGTTACCACTAGGTTACCACTAGGTTACCACTCGGTTACCACTGGGTCACCACTGGGTCACCACTGGGTCACCACTGGGTCACCACTGGGTCACCACTGGGTCACCACTGGGTTACCACTGGGTTACCACTGGGTTACCACTGGGTCACCACTGGGTCACCACTGGGTCACCACTGGGTCACCACTGGGTCACCACTGGGTCACCACTGGGTCACCACTGGGTCACCACTGGGTCACCACTGGGTCACCACTGGGTCACCACTGGGTCACCACTGGGTCACCACTGGGTCACCACTGGGTCACCACTGGGTCACCACTGGGTCACCACTGGGTTACCACTGGGTTACCACTGGGTTATCACTGGGTCACCACTGGGTCACCACTGGGTCACCACTGGGTCACCACTGGGTCACCACTGGGTCACCACTGGGTCACCACTGGGTCACCACTGGGTCACCACTGGGTCACCACTGGGTCACCACTGGGTCACCACTGGGTCACCACTGGGTCACCACTGGGTCACCACTGGGTCACCACTGGGTCACCACTGGGTTACCACTGGGTTACCACTGGGTTACCACTGGGTTACCACTGGGTTACCACTGGGTTACCACTGGGTTACCACTAGGTTACCACTGGGTTACCACTAGGTTAACACTAGGTTACCACTTACCACTGGGTTACC